CAAGTGCAGTAGCAAAACCCAATTAATTAAATTGATTTTTCATTATGACAGCCTCTTATTCTTTTTTTTTTAAGCCGGGTTTGAAAGAAAATACAGGCAAAAAGCCTAAACACCGCAGCGATGCCCAAGCTCACCATAAATATTTATTCCCGTAGGGGTGGGTGATTTCAGGCATTGCAGTCCTGCCCTTAAAACCCCAGCAGCGCTCACCCACCTCCAGCGCGATGGGCATCGCTGTCACTCTGCGGGGAGCTGCTATCAGGTATTTCAGGCCCAAGAGGCTCAAGCCGGGCTAATAATTGGCTGGGAAAGTTTCGGCGAGCACCTAACGCAGGTGCTGGCGGAAGCAGTGCCGCTGAGTCAGCGGCTGGCAGACATCCCTGCCACAGTCAGGTGAACCGGGGCCTTGCTATTTTTAGCCTGCAAGAATGAAGGCCACACCTTGCCCCGAAACCCCTGTATTCCCTTTGCAGTTTCAGGTGAGGGCCACGTCACCCTGGGCTTTTTATTGTATTACTAACTTCTGTGATTGCTGCATCCTGCAAAATCATTTCGTGGTGTTTCCTGGCTCCTGCTTAGGCAGTTACCAAATTTATTTCCCTCCTGGGAGGATGTTTTCTTGCTCCTTTTCCCAGTTTTTACCCGTCTCTGTGTCCACATAGCACTGAAGTACACCCTTAACCTTGACCTTGCTGAGATTTAAAGAAGACAGTTGTGTCACTTGGGGGCTGAGCAGTTTCCCAGGGATGGGTTTAAATCCATCGGGACAGGCAGAGTCTCAGCATCCTGAACGCTGCATCATCCTGCGTACAGAGGTGATGTCTTCATGACATCCCATGGCTGTGCTGCCATTAATGGCTGTGCCTCCATCACCACCTCTTGGCATTTCCTGTAAGGGACGGTGATGACAAGGACACCATTGTTTTTTGACATGGGTGTTGTTTGCAGTCACATCCCATCTATGGATGATGCCAACTCATGTTGGAAATACGGTCCCTTCCCAGCTGCGTGTCCTGGACTCGCTTATATTGGCATCAGTCAAAACATAAAGTGGATTCTTCATCCCTGAAGACTAAACATGCTGCAAATGTGCTTATCGCTCAGTACATTCACAGAATAATTTGGGTTGGAAACGAGCTGTGGGGGTCACCCGGTGCCAGCCCTGCTCGAAACAGGACTCCCATTGGCCTCAGACCCCTTCGGCCAGGCTGCTCGGGGTGATGCCGGTGCACAAATAAGCACTAAAGTATAGTAACTGTGGCCATTTGCCTTTGCGTCCTGCAGAAAATCTGGATCCCGGTACTAATCTCTTAAGTGCCATATATTTTGTTAGGTTATCTCTTACGGCGTATCATCATAAATGAGAATAAAAAACCCGATTTAATCGCTAACCAGAAGAACTCTCCCAAACTTGGCTTCTGTTGTGGAAGAAAGCCACTGACACACGGTTCAAAAGTAATTATTTTTATTTCAACTCTATAAAGTATACAACAGGCACTCGGCAATTACAGCTGCAGGGAAAATACAGAGCAAAACAAAAGCGGTTAAGTTTATGAAAAAAAGTTCTTAAATCTACATCAAAAGAGTGCAACCGGCCAACGACCGGTGGATGACCGATGTTTTTCTGACAAACAAAACCTCTTTCATGTAAGAAGAAAACTGGAGAAAATAAGAATATAAAACAAAGGGCCAGTGTAAAAGCAGCGTAAGCTGGGACTCGGGATGATAGGCAACTCCAAACGAGAATTTCCCCTTTTGCCGGTAAAGCCCTAAAACCGCCCAAGTCTCAGCGTCACGCCTGGTTTACGTGGCTGGGGAGCTGCGGAGGACGAGGAGCTTCCAGCTTTCCAGCTCAGCTCTGCAGGAGTGCCGAGGGCTTGCCTCCGCGGTGGGTTGCATATCGAAGGAGTCAGGGGAAAAGCATGGATCCTGTTTTGTTGAGTGGTGCAAACCAGCTACGCCTTTGTGTCAGGGTTTCAGGTCAGGTTGCACACCGAGTCGCTCATCATTTTTTTCTGGGTGGGAGATCTCTAATGGGGTTTGTATAAGACAAGGAGGTTGGCGCTGGACGGCACAATGGGTTGAATCTGCACAGCTTAGCAAAACAGGAATACCTGTCTACAGACTGATAGGATGTCATATATTAATTTGACCCGCACATAACATTTATACATTTCACAGAAATGACTCTGTATCTCATTAACAGATACACAGCTCTGGTACATTGAACAGAAATAAGAGAACGACTTCATCATTTCTGTAATTCATCAATATTATATAATAAAGGCTTAGAAATTGGTAGCAGAAAGAACTGTAAAACGCAGCAAGCTAAGAAAGGACGACATTTTGAGGTGTGTTTGTCTTTGTCATGCAGCATAACACCAAATCTGTAAATTTTTTTTTTTTAGGATGCCATGGATTTAAGGCACTTGCAACAATGCCAGATAGCTAGTCATGTTCTAAAATTATGGGACAGATGAGTTAACAGTACAGTTGACATAAAGTTTAATAATACTGACAATTATGACATTAATTCAAGTCTATTGATCTAAAAACATTACATTACAAATAAGAAAATGAAGTAATAATGCCATGGAACTCTAAAAAGAAAAAGTTATATGTGTACCACAAAGTATCAACACGAAAATACCTATTTACATAAATATTCGCTTGTGGTCCTGTTGTTAAATAAGAGTTTGCTATGGATAATGCAGCACTGTGAGAAGCTACGGATCGTCTGTGTCTTAGCGACACCAATCTTAATACACTCGTTTTAAATATGGGAGCTGATTTCCCCTTACGTAAATACGCCGTCGTCCCATATATTAAAAAAGGAGACAAAGAAGAAAGGACAGTAAGTGGAAACACAGAGGCAATCCGTTGTTGTGAATATATATATCTATCTATAATGCAACTCAAATATATTACTTATAAATGAAAGCGTTTATCATATACATATGCTAAGTATGTTGTTTAAAGTATGCTTAGGAAAGGTGATGGAAGTCGAGTGAGGTGTTTGACATCAAAATAAACTTATATTCGGTACAGTGCATGCTGCACGCTGCAGGTATTTATTACCGTGCGTGGCACAAGGAAAAAGGGATAGGAAAAAGAAAATAACCCATCAGCCCATTTAAAAACCTTCTTCCCGTAATGTTTCCGGGTTGCTCCCCAAAATTGTTGTGATGGTCCTTCCTCCCAGCAACCCCTTGACTGACCACTGCATCTCAGCTACTGAATATCATCATTTTGGGACAAACTCCTCTCTATGTTCTTCTATAGAAAGTTACCAAACGCAACAAGTTTTCTCCTCCAACGTCACCGTATCCATCAAGTGAAAAAGCGGGGGGATGCGAGTAAAGAATTCGGCTTTTAGGCAGCAGCCTGTTTGCTAAGATGCCTAGTGATTATTTTAGCCCTAGTGTTCAGCATTGGCTTTCAGTGTCTTCCATCCCTCAGAGAAAGGCTGAAAAGCAATCGTGTATTTGCCCTATACGAGTAATTCCCGGGAGACGTAGTTACTGTCTTTTCCCTATGGTTTTCAAGGTAAACAAGTTTTAATGATTAATGAATACCTGAAGTTATTGTGCCGATGGTGTCACCTCACCCTTCTGAAAACTAGAGAGCAAATTCAGCGACACAGACTGATTTTGAAGGGGTCGCGATGACCGAGCTTTTTAGTTTGCTGGCAAACAACAGACATTGTTGATGCTGTCAAAGAAGGGGAGAAAATATCTTTTTAATACACTCTATTAAGTCACTTTCATTAGGAACATGGGAAAAGAGTTGGCATCTAGCATCAGGGAAATAGTTTTTTACTGTTAAAACATAACATTTTCCATGTACTATGTAGGCAAAAGTCATATAAATGACTTCAGAGCAAAAGTTCATCTTTTGACTTCCAGCATATACAACAGCTCTTGGCAGCTCTGAGATGAAATGGGGCAGCATCTGCTAATTTTTTGGGGCAGGTTCTGTTATAGAGACTGAAAGCTGATAAACTTTTAGTCCCATGCATGTGCAACCAGCAGGCATCCAGGACAGGATTCCTCTGTTATGTCCTACAAATCAGAAGAGACTGCACTAAAGCAAAGGAAAAGCAGTGGAAGTGAGGGAAAAGTGTACACACACTAATACCGTTTTCCCCAGCTCTTTTTTTCATATGAGCTGACTCGGCTCTAACCATCCCCATGCCTTAACATGGTCACTGGGGTCCTGGTACACTGGAGACACAGAGACCTCACATGAACACATCCAATATCGGTTTTCCATTTAATTCCACTGACTTTTCTGTGGAGCTCCTTAGTCTGGTGAGGCATTAGGATTACATTTTTATGGGCAATATTACAAACAGAGGCAGAAAACTGGCCCTGTACTACCTTTTATTTTAACTAGCTTTGTACTAAACACGGAAAAGATGCAGACATGGAGACGTAAAGTCATCTAAGAGCATGATGGAGAACAATGCCTCTTGCTACATATTTCTGAAATGGTGGTTGACTCAATTTATATTCACAGATGAAGGATGTAGATAGCACCTATAAAGTACATTACGGGTCTTATGTTTTCCCTTTGGGTTCTAAAAAGGTAAAAATTAAGCTTAGTTTTATGCCTAATAGCTAATCAATAAGACCAGTGGGCTGCTGTCACTTTATTACAGAACCATTATTTAAGCATTATTTTATATGTAAAATGGATTAATTTTATGATTTTTTTTTTCATGCAGTTATGTATTTGTACCAAGGGAAAGGAAAAAAAAAACCCCAAACGTTGTGTTACAGTATGTTCTCAGCTCTATGAGAGAAGCAACCCATATCTGCCTTAACAGGATCTAGAGCAGTTGTGCTTTTGTTTTATCAGGCTAAAAAAAATTTTCTCAAAAAGAAAGAGGAAAGGTAACATTCAGTCTTGTCAAGAATACTGCTCGGAAAGAAAAAGGACAAATTTTACCACTGCTTTGACATGAACTTTTTGACCAGTACCACCGTGGTCCTCTTTTGCTCCTACACTGGCCTATAGTAGAAGACCTACAGAGTTTGGAGGGTGGGAGTAACCCAAATCCTGCACTGTATTTAGCTACAGCACTCAATAAATTAATATTGATCCTACTGATAAAGCCAGTACCTTGCTAGAATTAAGTGTGTCTTACACTATGTATCTTTCGACTTTTATAATTAAGAGTGTAGCAAGATCGTCGCAGTGATAGAAAACATATTTCTTTACTGGTGAAAG